TTTTTGAGTCATACTGCATGACACACACCAAGATGATGCTACATACTCAGTTTCACACATCAATAATGTCACTATGGGTTATTTCTTAGAAATTAGGTAAAAGTTGTTTTAGCATGACACATACACCAAGATGATGCTACATACTCAGCTTCACACGTTGATAGTATTATTATGGGTTGTTTCTTCAAAAATCACGTAAAAGTTATGTTTCCCATAAAAAAACTCATATCTCGATTTACTTTTCTGATCATTCATATCTCTACACCAATCACTATCCGACTATTCAATAAGTTGGTAATTGTTCAATCTCATGTAAAATAGCTTGAGTGATATTATTCCTCGGATATACCTTAGTATTTGCTTTAATGTCTTCCAATGTGAGTAGCTCAAATCCTCCATAAATCAACTACCAATCCCAACGTTTAGCAACAAGTCAAGTCTTGTGCTTGTGTGGTAATAAAGACTTCCCACTAAACTCAAATATCTACTCGGATCAACTTAATCTCCTTCATCAAAATTTGAAAGTTCTGTTCCCAATTCCAACGGGGTTGAGATCGGATAATAGTCGACTATCTTAAACTTATTTAGAATTTATTTTGCATATGCATGTTGGAACACAAATATCCCTAACTCCTCTTGACTAACCTCCAAGCCAAGAAAAAACTTCATCATACTCAGATCGGTCATCTCAAACTCCTTCACCATTATGCTCTTAAGCTCTTAATCATTACAAAATTATTTCCTATAAAATTGAGATCATCAACATAAAGAACAACAAGCATTACACTATCTCCATTCTTCTTCATATATAGAGCATGTTCATAAGGGCATTGTAGAAACCCCTTCTCCTTGAAGTAGGTATCAATCTGATCATTCCATACTTGAGGAGCTTGCTTCAGTCCATAAAGAGTTTTCTTCAGTCTCAACACCTTCATTTTTTCATCTTTCTTCACGTATCTAGGTGGTTGTTCAATATACACCTTCTCCTTATTCACATCATTCAAAAATGCTGACTTGACATCGATATGCATGATCGGTCATTTGAAATGTGCTGCTAGAGAGATAAGTTACCGAACAATCTCCATCCTTACCACTGGGACGAACACTTCATCGTAGTCTATCCCCTCCTTATGCTTGTAGCCCTTTGTAACCAACCAGGTTTTATATCATTCTACTTTTCCTTATATATTTATCTTCTTCTTGAATAGTCAATTTACACCAAAATTTTCTCTACAACTCGGTCATCAATAAGCGTTTCTTCATTCCTATTACACTAGTTTACCATAGTCCCAACTTGAGCGATGTATTCGGAAACTCCTTCATTTTCATGTTTTCATGTTCGCCACGAAGAGATTGTAACCGAACCTATTTTACTTGATCATTGCCCTTGTATAATGTCTCCAAAATCTTCCACGCTTCTTTGAATTTCTTGTACTCATTATCTTCTTAAACTCAAACTCATCAACAACTCAATACATCATGTATAAGGTTGTCTTATCCTTTGCACATTTCTCCTTTCGAGAATTTTTGGTTGTTCGAAATTGTCCTCAACGACATCCCAATTATTTTGGGATCTCATAGTTAGTTCTTTTTGTCAACCGATACCGGAACTCATTGTTTGTTAGACCGCTCATCACTCTCTTCAAGCTCTCTCATGCTCAAAAAACTCAAACCCTAATTCTTGATACCAAATTGATAATAAAGAATCTTTAAAAAATGGTATGTTATTGATTATCTATCCCACAAAATAAGAATTACATTAATCCTAGCATTAACTCCCATACATGCCTAAGATATCTTAATATTAACTACTTGGAATAATAATATTAACAAATTAAAATATTTGCAAATTTAAAATATTTTAACTAAGATATCTTAATATTAACTACTTGGAATAATAATATTAACTACTTAAAATATTTGCAAAATTAAAATATTTTAACTAACATTGAAACTTATTATTTTTCATTTAATTTTATCTCACATATGTGTGTTCATTTTGTTCCTTTTTATTCCCATCAATTATCTAAACTTTATTAATGTATTAGTACCAATATTTGGATAATTATCATGATAACAGGTTGGGAATCCAATTAAGGTGAAATCTTATATTAAGTAAAAAATTAAAACCCTTAGTAACTTATAAATGAAAGACCCCATGATGCTCTAAAGTTTTAAGTTAAAAATAGTCATATTCTCTTATGATTGGGTGGTCATGTTATCAAAAAGTTTCATGTGTTAACCCGTTGGAAATGCCCAATACACATTTTTTCTTTGTGACTCCATATGAACAAGATCCTTTAGTTGTTACTATAGGATCGTTGTATGTTTCTATTAGTGTGTGTGTGTGTTTTTAGTGAACTAAGATCAGCCTACAAATGTCATGAATGAAGACTTGATATTTCTGCCATCAATCCTTGCTAAACTTTATAATTGCTCAATTGTTTTCTTTAGTTGTACAAATTTCCAGAATAAACTTTTTGATTAAACACCTGAATTCAGTGAAAGCAAAATCAGATTATTAATAGCCGCTTCTTCGTTGATACAATTTGTGAGAATAACATTAATCAATTTCTTTCATACTGGTGCAGCTTATCACAAATGACAGGTTTGTCAGTGTGTATCACCGGGTCTTATCAAAGAACACAGGTCCGAGAATTTCCGCAGCAAGCTTCTTTGAAAATTCATATGACCCAGTTGAGAGTGCATCAAAGGTGTATGGTCCAATTAAAGAACTGCTTTCAGAAAAAAACCCACCTATCTACAGAGACACTACCATGAAAGATTACTCGGCATATTTTTTTGCCAAAGGCTCTGATGGGAACTCTTCTTTGGACCACTTTAGGTTGTGAATCAAACATGAGAATGCAGTCTTAATTCTCATGGTTCTGGCTGTAAATTATCTAAATAATAAGCCACTTTCTAGTTTTCCATATTGATCATAGTATAAACAGCATCAAGTTCTCACAGACTGGAAAGGAATGAATTATTTATTCTGAACTGTTCTAAAATAACTTTATAATGTGTGCTGGTGGTTAAGAGATTTTGATTTAGCTAACTGTTGAATTGAAGAGATTCTGGATTATCAGTTTGTTGTAGAGACTCTAGGACATCAGTCTGTTTTTTGAACCAAGGTCCAGAAACAAATTGCAAGATATTCTGTAAAGGATTGAAATGGCACACTATGAGAAATCAAAGTTATCACATATCTAAAGATTTCAAAATCTGTGAAAAATATATTTTCGAAAAATTTAAGAAGGATCAAGGTTGAGGTAACCAAAAAGGCTTCTTATGATGACAATCAAGAATAAGAAATGAAAGTTTATATTGAAATGGGTAAATCCTGGCATACTCATATCGCTAAATAGCTCTAATCAATTTTAAATTTCAATGTACGATTTCCAATATCATTCACATTACCAATCATCCATGACGGATAAAAGTTACGAGCAACTTAATCATTTACAACATTAATTCCATGTACACAGCACCTACAACTAAATTTTAAAACAGAATTCTGCCTTAGGAAACACGCTAATACCACCTCTATTATTCAGAGAAACTTCCATACACTTCCATACGTGCTTTTGATATTCTTTAATCAGAATCAAAGTTTCGCCGAGTGATCAGGGTTAATATTTAATGGAAACTTTTATGACGTAGATTTTCGAGATAAAACTCTCATTCTGAAGGAGAACCTCACCATGTAACCGCGACTAATTTTGTCTTCGTCAATATGGAGATCTCTCTTGATCAACCTTCAAAAATATGTGAACGACATGATAAAACATCACCAGAATCTGTTTAAAGCTTTAAACAGATTAACGGCAACATATTTTCAGACTTTTTAAGTATGGACTTCCCAAGTATCACAAAAATTATAAACTTAAGAAAATGTGAAAAACTTTACACAAATGCAACTATTACACAGTAAAATCTAATACCTATTTCAAGCTAACATTGCACAAAAAATTGGCAATGCTATATGCCTACTCAACCAGGACAACAACTTGACAGCAACTGCAATGCACTCTTATTATCATAGCATGCTCACTAAAATTACAGAAAGGGTGGACAAACTGTCAAGTTTTCAGATTCTTATTGATATTAGGGGGAAATAATATTTACTTTCAAGAGGAAATCCACAAACACGTCAAAGACATACAACCAAAGCTTTCAGCACTATTGTATAATGAATCAAAGACCATTTTTCCTAGAATGTACTACAAGATCATTTCAAAATATTAAAGCATGAAAGAGAAATCTTATCTAGAGTTCTTCTTCCTTCCCTTTGTCGCATAAAGTTCTCCTTCCCTGTCAACTTGTCTTGCTCGACCAAGTTTTCTAACCAAACTTTAAAATTTGATCCCAAACAGAGGCTATTCAAAAAAAAAATGTTTGCAACATTCTCTTTCTAATACACACTTAAATATTGGTTAAAATTTATTCAAAAGTACACAAGAGATACCCATTAAATGAAAAGTGAGACACGCAAAAATTATGAATTCCAGTAAATTTGAATCAATAGTGAAAGATGTGTTCAACAGAGTATTCATAGAATGTGTTATTAGCATTTATCTCGACACTAACTAAACAAGAAATCATTATCAGAATATGCAGTAATAAATTTCTCATCTTCGCTATAAGCACAACAATTTTTATACAAGCAGCTTTATATTTACAAATTAAACATTACTGATCCAAAGAACTGTGTTTGGCACATAATGAATTATCGCAAAAGTAGCAATAGCGACTAATACACAAAGACAGGGAAGCGTATACAATATCATTGCCAAATACTATTATTCCAAACAAAGACATAAGTTATTGATTCATCCCCCAGAGTCAACACCTTTGAAAGAAGCACTGATTATTTGTTCATCCATCTCAAATTACATTAATAAACACATAATACTCCACAAATAATGCAACATAAAATTTCCATAATCTCCATGTCTACAACCAACACATCAATCTCAAACCACTCATTGAATTATTGCCTATTTTTTGCTTCCACTTGCATTATTGCTTCCTGCTTCCTGTGCCGCTTTCTTTGCCGCCTTCTCCTGCAGCGCCTTGGCATCTCTGCACGTGAAGAAATGCAATGATTTACGCAAAAATCAAAGTTAGGCACAATTAATTCAAAAACAAAAAGAAAAACAGATATAAATTGCAAAGTATTGTGATAAATCACATCAACCCAACCTTTCCCTGCGTTGTTCAGGGGTCAACCCATCAGCTTTCCCCTGCTTGCCTTTAACCCCTGTTCTAGCCTGAGCCCTTTCACGATCACGGTCCCTCTGGTTACCGCGTGCGCTTCAAAGTTAAGTGTAAACAATAACGAAAAACTTCACAAACCAGACTTCAAAAAACAAACCTCAGATAGCTATTTTAATTGTGACAAAGGAAACAAATTAAAAATAAAAAAATTTGTAAAATTACGAAAAAACGTTCCTTCCAGCGGATCCAAACTGAATGGAACAATTAATTTCAGCAAATCCGATACGATCAACAATAAAATGGGTATGGGAGCGTAAAATGAGCTTTATTTTTCCTCGAACTTTCCAGCAGAAGGTCAACCCTATCACTAAATTAATGAGAATTCCAGAAAAATTAGCAGTAAAATTTCAACATAACAAAGGATATGAGTCATTGTCGCAGATCGATTCTTCGAAAACGAAACGAGCACGGAGACGAGGGGAAACCCTAAAATCGAAATCGGGAAATAATATATACAATTAACAAATTAGAAAGAAAAAAAAAATGTAGAGAAAAGCAAAAAAAGACAATAATAAGAAAACAGACAAAAATTACAGAGCGGAAAATTACCTGATCGAGAGAAAGCAGAGAGCGAGATTGGTGCAATGCAAAGTATGAAATCGTTGAAAAAAGAACGAAGAAAGGAGGAAGAGAGGGTGCGAGAGAATAAAGGTGGACTAAAATATTTGTTCCCAACTGGAACATTCAGAACCGATGAAGTTTATTTTATATTTGGTAACTATTATTCTTTATAAAATTTTCTAAATATACATAAGTTATATATTATAACTAACTAATTTTCATTAGTTTATATTTCAAGTATATAAATTATATCTTTAAATTATACTAAATAATATAAACTGAGATAAAAAAATTATTTTATTAATAATAATTTAAATACGATTATTGAAATTCTACCAGGAATTATTGGTTTAGTTCCCTGGAAAATTATGTCTTTTTCAAAAATGTTTTTTAAATCTAATAACTCCATTGCTGTCCCTTCAAGTTTGTGATTTCTTTTCCGTCACCTTGCTTGGTCCTCTGTTTACAGAACACATAGATGAAAATGTTGACTTTGAGAAATTGAAACAATATTACATAAATAAAATTGTCACAAGTCTCTTTAGTAAATATTTATGCATTTCAATTTACTCAAAGATTATCGGGGAAAAAATATATATATATATATATAGGGAGCCTAAAAATATGTGAACTTAATCTGGTTTATTTTTTAGCAAGCCGGAAAGTTTACAACTCAAGTCTAATCTACCACGGTTGGTAAGTTAGGTAGATTGGTTCAATAACTCATATATTTCTTAATTTTTTAAATTATATATATATATATATTAATAATACAATGATTTTACAAAGATATTAAGTGAATAAATTTATCATCCAAATCATTCAAATACTTTTAAATAACATTATAGTCTTAAAAAAGTCAAAGTATCATCCTGTTACATAAATAAAATTAGCAAATACCTATAAATGTATAGATATTATAGTTTTCAAATAAATATTCATCAATCAAATCGTTTAGGTTATGGCACAAATTATTATCTTTAAAAGCGGTACAGTAGACACGGTGATGTAGTGGTGCGGTAGACAGATGATAAGACAAGTGACCCAAGTGCAGAGACAAACTTAGTGGTGCAGCGAACAATTGATAACAAGTTTGAGTGAGGATTTGGTTTGTGGCGGCATCAACAATGTAGGGTAGAGGTAAAGCACGATAACATCAATTATGATTATTAAAGTAGTATAATTATTTTTAAAATTAGTGTTAGTATATTATTATAATTATTTTTAAAATTTAAAATTAATGGTGGATTGTGGGTCAACCTACCATAACCCAATTCGAACAGGTTTAACTTGTGTGAGTTAAGTGAGTCGAGTTTATTTTTAGCTCATAATCGATAGAAATAAAAATAAATCTAACACAACCCGGCTAAACCGTGGTAAGTCAGTTGACTCACGGTTAAAACATATATTAACACCCTTAAATATATATATATATATATATATATATATATATATATATATATATATAAAATAACAAAAAAATTGTGACTATAGTAATTTCATAATTTTTTTTAATTGAAACTAATAAAATAAAAAATTACAAATAGGTAATTGATGTTTTACTTTCTTGTTTGTGTTTCTTCTTCTTATTTATTCAAAATTCCAATGATCCCGGTTGGATACAGAGTGGGGGAAACATGGCCCCGGCCCCTCCCTCTTTTAAAATTTATATATATATATATATATATATATATATATATATATATATATATATATATATATATATATATATATATATATATATATATATATATATTTTATTTATATATTATAAAAAAATTATATTAAAAAAAAAAAGTCTCACATCTATTTCAAAAGTTATGGTAACTTCTAGTGTGTCAGTTTATATATTATAATATAATATAATTATTATATTACATAATATTATAAATGAAAAAGTTAAAGAAACTTATATAAGAAGATAACATTTTGGCTTCTACCGTAACTTGTAAGCTAACAGTAGTTCTATATTTTTTTTATTTTTCATTTTCAAGTTCTATTCATTCTTCTATGCAAGTGTGTTTGGTTTCATGTTTGAAGGTTATAGATCCACGTTTACTTAAATGATGAAGTTGTAACTTCTGCGTTGGACCTATCAACATAAGGATTTTAATGTGTTTTCAAACACACACTAAACTAGTGTGTCATTCTCCCAGTTTGAATTCTCAAAAGTTTCAAAACTGCAAAAATGGCGAAACAAAAGTATATCGTTACAGTAAGTTCTATAAAGTATTTTGCAAGTATTTTTCTTATTTTTCTTCATCAATTTAAAACTTTACTGCTAAAAACATTAATAGACTTATAGTGTTTTTGTTTTCTTTAATATGGACTCTTTTAGGATCAACATCAATTCAAAGAAGAATAAAAATAATAATGCAAAATTGGAACTTGAAAGCAAAGGTTAGACAAAAGGTCACAAATTAGTGGTAAGATAAAATAAATTTTTTCATTTAGTTATAGTTTGATAAATAAATTTGAAATTAATATTACTATATGCTTGGTTTGTACATTTTTTTTAATTTTATTGTTATCACAAGGTTTTAGAAATTTATTCTGACTATAATTATAAGATTATGTTAATTTTAATTTTTGTTATCAATGACATTTTAGGTTAAGAATATAGAGATTTGATAGTATCATGGGAAAATCATCTACAATTGATACATATTATAAAAGAAAAGCTAATGAAACTCTTTAAGTTAGTAGCTTATTAACTCCTCCATCAAGCACACAAGTTAATAACTCTTCAATTCCTCTTTCAAGCACACAAATAGTTATTATTGAACAACATCAATCTAAAGTTCTTAGAGTAGAAGAAGTTGATATCTCTTTACTTGAGAAAAATCCAGGAAAATGACTTTCTAGCTGATTGTTTGATTAGTTATATTAAGAGAAGGATTGCTGAGAAGTTTGATACAAATTCTATTATTGATTAATTTTATGATATGAAAGAAAGACATACACACTTAAATAAAATATATGATATATTTAACTTTTATTTAATATTTATTATCAAAGTTTACAATTTTTTTTTCTTTTGCTCCCGTTTAAACTATTTCTGGATCCGTGCTGCCAATTATTAACACACAAGACTTAAGAAAGTGTACCCAGATAATATGTAATAGCACTAAAAACAATATTATCATTTTAAAAAAGAAAAGTCAACATGATTGAAAACTGATGAAATTGTTTTTATTTTTATTTTTATAAATTCAGGTATAGATAAAAGATAATATTATAGTTGGGCACGTCAAATTTTAATTTCTAAGACATTATTTAGATTTAGAGGCATTATCTTCATTAACATAACATGCAAGATTTATTAATATAAAGATTCGTAAGATGTGTATAACAGATTATTTCTCAACATTTTATCTTACAGTTTGTGTTTGTTTGTTGTGACTCATGTCTTCTATTTACTTATTTATTTTTTTGATAATCTATTTGTCAAAAATTCATATTTTGAGTTGGTAGAGGGAAAAAAAAAAAAGATTTTTGTTTTCCAATTTAAAAGAGAGTACCTGACTTTTTAAGCTATTGGGATTTTGTGTCGTGGAAGGTATAAAAATGATCTCTAGTTTACTAATTAGTAATCAGATTGACGCATGCTTTTGAATGGAAAATGAGGATGTTGAAAGTTGCCACTTCAAATGCTAAGGCCCTAATTATCTACATTATATAGGGATGAAAGTGGAGACGTGAGTTCGTATTGAACATGTAAACACATGTAAATTGTGTTGAATAAGATGATTCTGAAGTGCTACAGCAAGCACTTATGAACTCAAAGTTACAACTACTTAGACCTCACAACAATCTGAGTGTGTTTTCCATTCTGCATATGCTCCATATCTTGGCGTCTAATTAATTTTTCTTGGTAATAAAATACAATTACAATATAAAATAAATGAATCATAGATTTATAAGTTTTTTATATTAGAAGTCTTTCGAGGGTAAACAACAATTTTTTAGATAACATTGCCTAAGAATATCTATAATGATAAAAAAAATCACTTTTTAATTATATGAATTTTTTTATTCTAAGGAAAGAAATATGATGAAATCTTCCTCAAAAAGATATGATGAAAAATTATATAAAAAAATCTATTAAAGATGAAGAAATCTAATAAAATTTCGCGTTATAAGATTATATCATATATCTCAACATTTCTAATTCCATAAACTACTTTATTTCTACAATTCATTTAAATGATTTTTGAAAAAAAAATTCAGGTATATTCATTACCATTACTATATCTTAAATAAATGTCAGAACCTAACAACCACGACAACTTACAAATGTTGTGCAGACGTTACACAAGATGTTCCAGAGCAGTCTGAACTTTGAAGTATGTAAAAAGTACCAATCGGTTACAGATTTTTCCCTCACGCAGCATGTCAGGATGAGTTCCTCAGGTTGGACAAGTATTCATGTTACAGCCCCATAACGAGCTTTAGTCAGCCAAGTGTTCGGTCCTACTAGACCAACTAGAAATATTCACAGTAACAACAGAAAGACACTAAAACACATACACTAATATCCTGAAACAAAAATGCTGTTCAGATCAAAATAGGCTCCGTCAAACTCTGATGATTACAAATTGGTGCATAGCATCTCTATAGGAGAAAGATTTCTGCGCTTGAACCTGATGTTACATGGTTTTCTGTAAAACATTCATAAGAACAGAATAGTTAATTTTAATTAATGATTATAATACATTAAAATGAAAAGAAAACTGTACTATCCAGAGGCAACCCTAATCAATGTTTCGACTACAGCTACAACCAGCTCTGTCATATATTCATATCATAGATTGGCATATTTCCACAAATATTCATAATTTAAAAAATCACAAAACTCCAAAACAATGTTTATTTGTTGGAATTAGAAGGTTAATATAGAAAAGTAAAAGAGAAAGAATATTCTAGATTGAAAAGGTGTAACGGTGTGATACGAATACTAACATAAGGGTCCGATTTACATACTATGGTACAAGCCCAAAGCAAAAACATAAAAGTTTACTGGGGGGAGGAGGATAAGGGATCCTCCTAAACAAAATGTTAAAACAGAAAACAACTAAGAGAAAATTAATTGAGCAAAGCTTCCTAATAAGCCCATAAAAAACATACCTTCTAAGAATAAGGTTCAATGGAATACAATTTGACAGGTTTCAAAGTTTCTTTGAAGTATAGATAAATGCCGGCGAATTTGGAGTTTTTCCTCTGAACTTAGTGAACTTGATAAGAAGATGGTCATCGTCTCTAACACTCTAGCATTTTGCATGATATACCCTACAAAATCCAGCTCAGTTTCCAATCCTTGATATTCTCTAAGGCAGAACGTTTTAAGATGTAAAAGGCATTCAGGAACAAGCAGTGGATGACTCCATCTTGACTCTTGTCCCTTTGCATATTTTTGTGATTCCTGAAATAACAGATATCAAATGTTCTCAGATAGAAATTAAAAATCTAAAATAAAATTCACTTTTCCACTCAGCAGACCTTGTTAATAATAAGAACTTCCAGCTTTTGGGAACGTTGAAGCAAGTTTGCTAACAAATCCCATGAATAGCTTCCAAATGAAATTTCCAGCTGGAGTAACTTATCAAACACCGGAATATCAATGGCAGAAGCATGCTTCAGACACTGCATATAAAAGTTAGGAAAAAATAATACTCAAAAAACAAAAATATATAAAGTTTAAAAACCTGGCACCCTTCCATAGAAATCATAACATTCAGTAAGAAAATTAAAACCAAAAACAAACTGACAAGTAACTAAAGCAAGGAAAATAATAGTAGTCAAAGGTCTTCCTATATTTCTTTGGCTTGTGTGGAATTGTGTAAACTAACCAAAGTATAACTTCTGCTTCAATTTCAATCTCAGTCGAAGAATATTTAGCACCATTTTGAGTAATAAGTATAAGAATATTTCTGAAATGGGCTGAGTGAGAGTTAGGATTGACAACATAGACCAGCTTGTCCCATCATCAGTCTGCCATGGTCAGCAAAATAATAAAAAAAAAAGGAAAACAAAATGGAAAAATTTTAATCTAAAAAAAAACAATCTTATTTGTTGTTAGTCTCGTTTATTACCTTCACAACTTGTAGCACATAATATTTATATAGAATCTTATATAACATTTTGTACAAAATTTACATGTTTTTTACTATTTTGGTTTTTTAACCAAGAATGTGCTGGTCAGCCTCGACCCATTACAAACCCATTTGGATGGGCTATCTAGGTTGGTGGGTTGAGTTCTCTAAGCCAGCCCTTCCAAAAGGCATCCCTATCAAGAGTTTCACCGAACAATATGCTTCAAATTATAGACAATAAGGATTAACATTAATAATAAATCACATACAATACAGTTTACCAGACAAATTACATAACAACATATCCTATGATACACTGAACATATTCTAATTGAATGTTAATGATTCAATTTCCAATACTCCCCTCTCAAGCAAATGAATAGGCATTGTCCATTCCCAGCTTAACTGTTATTCTTTTATAAATTGTCTATCCACCTCAATGTATTTAGTTTTATCATATGTTGAACTGGAATCTAAGCAATGCTAATAGCAGACTTATTATCACAATTGTGCTACATAAATCCATTCCATTTAGTTTTAAAAAATAATCTCAAGCCAAAGAAATACATAAATACCTTGTGCCATAGCCCAAAACTCAGCTTCAACTATAGAACAAGCCACTATGTTATACTTTTTACTACTCCAAATTACAAGATTTCATCCAAGAAAGTACAGTACCATGTACCGGTCCTCAAGTCAATAGTTGACCCTACATAATGAGCATCAGTATAAGCCTTAAGAGTTGCATACATTCCTTTTAAGTAAAATTCCTCTTCCAGGAGTTCCCTTGAGGTACTGCAAAATTCTTTTAGCACACCTATAAATGACCACCTTAGGTTATGCATAAGTTGACTAACCAAACTTACAAATGCAATGTCTAGTCTAGTATTAGGCAAACTAATCTCCAACAAATGTGAATACATCTTATTACTGCCAATTCACCATCATCTGCACTATACAAGTTATGGCTCAAATCTATAAGTGTCCTCACAAGTTTACAATCGATCCCATTGATGTCTGTGAAACCTTTAGCAACTAGACCTGCTTTGTACCTCTAAAATGACAAATTTGCTTTAAATTTTACTGAATAAACCCATTCAGAACCAACTGAGCTTTTTCTTCAGATAATTGACAAAGTAACAAACTCCCATGATTTATTATTCTCCAATGCCATTATTTATATCCATGGCCTAATTCCAATTTTTATTCGATAATACCTCAAAATCATTAATAGGAATTGGGAAAGGGACAAGGTTTGCAATAAAGGAAATATGGGTTGGTATTTTTTAAATGATAAATAGTTTGAGGTCCTCGTGGCTTTTGGGTGCAATTATGATGGCAATTGGGAGGTCATGATTATCTTTAATTAATGGGATTTCTGTTTCATATCCTAGAAAATTAGAATTTTTCATCTGATCTAAAGTACAGGACATGGATTGGCCTCTTGTATATGTATCAATTCAGGAATGGCCTTTAACCATCGTTACATACACCAAATTCTTTCCTACCTTGTACCATTTCTAGATCTAGTTTCAGTTGGTGCTTCCTTTGACTCAAGTTTGTGGAAATTTGACTTGAACTAGCAAGACCATATGCTTCAACATGAATCCCCTAATCTTTCCTAACATGCTTATCATTTTATAAAAAAAAAAAAAAAACATTAAGTTGTACTTTAGGGTTAGGCAAGTTCTGGTTGTGGTTTGGGTGATCTCTTTTCTCTGATCCACTAGATGCCTTCACAGCCAAGAGCAGAACAAATTTTAGAACAGTAGAGCAACATGATTTGCCTCCTCCGGCTATTGCTTCTCGATTTATGAAGCAAAAAGCACAACTCCATCCAGGCTAGATAGCCTTTGAAAGAGTGGCAGGGTCTCACAACTCCTTTTGAGGCCAAATAGAACCAACACAAGAATCACGCTATTTTTCTCCAAATCATGATTTTTGCAATTCAAGTCCAATTCATGCATTCATAGTGCAATTTTAGCACCAAAGTTATTCGCTCACCAATTCATATTGATAGCTGTAGAATCAGATCAAATCATATGTATCATATCAGGAATCATGCAATACTAATAACTATGGTTCAGAATGGACAAAATACCCTGACCGTAATTGGCAGTGTCAAGTTTCAGTTGAAAGTGTTGGACAATTATTTTTTGATTGAGTATGCACTTCAAGCAATCTTACATTTCCTTAGCAATCAACAGAAAATGACGATTAACTTTCTGAGGCTCAATGCATCAGAGCATGATTTGTCTCCAATGCATAATTTGGCCTTAGGTTGGACAGAAGTCCCATTAATATGATCATTTGACAAACATCTTAGACTAAAACTCTCAGGTGGCACAGTTTTTCCATTAAGATGAAATAAACAAATTATTAATTGCCATAGAAAAAAAATGGGAAATCCAATAACCTTTTACCTAGGGTAAAAAAAAAAAAAAAACTCGATGGCCAAAGAACTAAGATGTCCAAGAGCTCAAAGCTGACTAAAAACAACGAAAATAGCATGGTCAAGAACGAAGAAATTGAGAACTCATTGATGCCAATAGGAAGATCTAATACCATAGAATAATATTTGACTGAGCCACTTAATCCATTTCCGATTCTATTCATCTCAATAAATAGTACAAAATTCTTTATGGGGGAAGATTTACCATTTTCAACAAATAACATTGGTACTATTCTAATTGCTAACTCCTAATTTCGCTCTATACTAAGAATCCATATTAATACAATTAATAGG